GTGATCATTCCTAAACAGAAACCAGAAACCAGAAGAGTATTTTCATGCTTTTACCCCTTGTGCAGATGTGAATGAGCATAAGCGTGTGTGGATACAAGGATAGGTGTGATCATTCCTAAACAGAAACCAGAACAGTGTTTTCATGCTTTTACCCTTTGTGCAGAGGACATACAAACAGGGCACCCAGCACTGAAGCTGCTCAGATATGGTGGTGGGAACAGGAGGATGGGAACTGACCAGTATGAGCCAGTCAGAATATGGAAAGCTGATGCACAGGGTAGAGGGGATGCAAACTCAGCTTCGATTTCTAAGTAAGAACCAGCTTGTTTTCTGGGGTAAGGAACTCAGCTTTTGCCATACGAACTTGCAAACTTTGCTTAGATGTTAAAAAGGAGGAAAAAGACTTTTTGGTGACTGTGCCAAACATGTTCTACATTTTCGCTTAATGAAGGAATTCAGACTTGCAGTTGTCATATGTTCAGATTCTGTGCCTTTCTGACAGCTGAATTATGATTTTAATAATTTAAAAGTGCTACTGTGAGCCTGTCCATGTATAATGGGCACAGAGAAGTGTTTAAAATCACAAGCAGTTTAGAGAAAGTGGTGGCCATAGTACAGGAATGAAAATTGTCTACATCTGAATATTAAACTGTGTGAACTCTCCAGTGGGAAAACTCTTTGCAAAGTAACTACAAACTTTAGTGTATTGTTCCAATGTGTGGAATTAAGAGATTGCATCTGATCAGAACTTTTGGCTGCCTGAAGCAGCAGCCTGAAATGACTACTTTCTTTTACATAACCCTGCCAGGATGAGGGCTTGGTCATTCTGCTTACAAAGGTTTTAGTTCAGAGGAACAGAAGCTCAAATCTATAATCTCAGTAGAAACATTTGTAAGACAGAAATGAAATATAAGGGAAAAAAGTGCCCTCCAGGCTACATTCCCCTTGCTTTGATATCATTATCTTTGTGCCTGTCCATGGGAATGTTTGAAATTCTACTGCAACTGCTACAGCATACTGGTGTTGTTTTTAAACTCACAACTAACTACAGACAAGAAGCCCATGTCCACTCAGTTAAGGAAAAAACAGATCATGTCTTGGAGATCACTGAGTATTTTCAGTCTGGTCACCCACAATATCCATTTGAATTCAGCACATCTATAGTTCCTGGCACATCAAGTGAAGAAACAACGACCGACATCACAAAAAGAGACAACGCACACATCAGCAGCCTCCCAACCTCCTGTGACCTCGACAGCTCACACTAATGTCTGAAAAACCCATGAGCTCCAGCTGCCACCTCCCTTGCACCATGTTAACTTTTTCCTTCTGCAGAAGGAGTGACAAACGGGACCTGCTGCTCCACAACTCGCTCCTCCTGCACTCACTCACCGTTGCACCGAGCGTTTGTGAAGTGGGTGTAAGTGCTTTTTCTGTTTGATACAACTTCACATGAGCATAAACTGCAGAAGCTGTAAGGCAAAGAACAATCCAGCCCTAACAGTTCCAGCCCCTTTTCAAACATGCACCCAGGAAAGCGCTTTGGAGTAACTGCAGTCAGGCTCCTAGTGCATGCTTGCCTGCTGCTCAGTAAAAGAAAAAGTACTACTCACCCCAGCGTTGTCATGGTTACAATAGTGTACCAAAAGGAAGCAGGAATACTGGTGAATTTGCTTGCCGAGGACCCTTTCTCTGCATAAAACATCACAGTTGCAAAGATGATGATTGCCATAGTGAGGGAAAAGAGGAGAAAGCCAAGCTCGGAGGCACAGCTCTTCAAAGTGTAGCCCAAGATTCTTAAGCCTTGGGAATGGCGAGAGAACTTGAAAATCCTGAATACCCTAAAAACCCTTAGTGTCACAAAGGCTCCGCTGACGTCCTCGTTGTTGGTCATCACCAAGCCGATGTAGTACGGCATGATGGCCACCACGTCAATGATGCTCATCACACTTCTAATGAATCTGTAGCGACTTGGGGCCGCAAAGAGTCTCAACAGATACTCAACCGTGAAAATCATCACGCAGGCCGTGTCCAAGCAAAAGAAAGCCACGGCGTATCTCTCCCCGCATGGAAGCTCCTTGTTCCCAGGCACCGTGCCACAGGGGACGGTCTCCACGACGTTAGTGATCACAGAGACAGCAATAAAGAAACCGGTGACGTAGTAAAAGACTAAGGCTAAGGTGCTGGTGTGGGGGTTCTCGAAGGCTCGCCACATGGTCTGCCGGAAGCTCAGGGATGGCATGGACCCTTCTTGGTTGTTTTCCGAGTCGTTGTCGTCCATCAGCCGCTCGGCGTTCTCCCTCTTCCTGTCCTTGTACTCTTCGTAGCAGCAGTCCCCGATGATTTCGGGCAGGATCCCATAGAAGGCGAGCTCTTCGTCGTAGGCAGAGATGCACTCGTACCTGGGATAGTGCAGCTTGCCAGTTCTATAAAAATTTAAGATGCACCTAAAGACCTCAGGGTCCCGGTCAAAGAAGTACTCCTTGGTGTCTTCGTTGAAGAAGAACTCCTTCTCGGTGCTGCCCAGGAGAGTGTCTGGGTATCTCTCCAGTGTAGTCCTCCAGGTCTGGAAACGCCTGCCGCTCACGTTAAGAATGATCAGCTCATCCTGCCTCTTGTTTTTCTCCGTTGGAGCCAGTGGCATGGGACAGTTGGCCACTGGCATCCA